TGCCTATGCTTCCTTTGCTTCTGTTTAGTATACCTTTCTCATTTGTTTATTTTTGCCTTTCTAAATTTCTTAATTATAGGTATGTATCATGTCCATGGCATATTGTTGTGGTGTGCTTTGTGAGAAAATTAAAAATATTTTTTAAAATAAATGAATGTATTAGTTATTAGGGAGAAAAGTAATATATTTTTCTTACACATCACTAGGTTTATGGCTGAGACTCCTGTAACGAAATATAGATTAAAAAGAGAGAAGCACAACAAATTCACTTAGTGTAAGTTGTACATGACACAGGAGCCTTCAGAAATGAAGACCCAAAAACTCAGCAAAAACTGTTTTTGTGGACAATCATGCAGAGATATAATTAGAAGACAAAAGGGTAAATGGTAAGAAGCTGCAGGGAACTTAACAAGGCCTGTTTTTTCAGATTCTTCTTGGCCTCTCTGTGTGACATTCCTTCCCTCTCAGTATGGGGTAGTCTACTTGGCACATGAAGGTCTTAAAGGTAAGAGGGAGGGAGAAGATCAGAGAGTAGCCTTCCTAGGTTTTCTGGCCTACTTCAGGGAAGAAGGAACAAGGGAAGTTTCAGTTTCTATGGCCCACTTTATAAGAGAAGAGATAGGAGAAAGTCAGAGAGAAGTTCCTGCTTTTTTGTTTGTTTGTTTTTCAATTTACTTCAGCTTAAAATACTCAGTATGTCAAGATGCTGTATTTTGGGGTAGTGTTTCCTACCACATCATTATCTATTGCCAGACAAACAACTCCACAACTTAGCAGCTTGAAACAACATACATTTATTATGGTATAGTTTCTCTGGGTCAAGAATCAGGGAGTCTCTTAACTGGGATCTCTGGCTCACGGTCTTCCATAAAACTCCAGTTGAGTTGTTGGCCAGGCTAGTTATCTTAAGGTTCAGCACTTTAAAGATTCACCTCCAAGCTCCTCTAGTTGTTGTCAAGTCTCATATTCTTGTTAGTTGTTGGCTGGAGTTGTCAGTTTCTTACCATGTGATCCTCTCTACAGGACAGCTCACAATATGGCATCTGGCTTCTCTCAGAACAAGCGAGCAAGGCAGTGAGAGAGAATAAGACAAAAGCCACAATCTTTTTGTAACCTGATCTTTGAAGTGATATCTCATCACTTTTGCAATATACTATTCATTAGAAGGTAGTGGGTAATTTCAGTCTATACTCAAGGGAAGGGAATTACACAAAGGCTTGAATACTAGGAGGTAGGACTCTTTGGGGATTAAAAGCTACCTACCACAGTTTTCCTTCTGGCTCTCAAGGATTTGCTAACTTTCCACATGCAAAATACACTCACCCCCTCCGAAGGTCCTCAAAATACATACGTTGTTAAAGTGCCAGTGCCAGCTCAAGGTTTAGAATCTCATTATCTAAATCAGGTCCAGGTGCTGCTACCTGGGTGCAGTTCCTCTTGTCTTGTGGACCTGTAAAATTAAACAGCCAAGTTATCTTCCTCCCAACACACCCAACATATAATTGTGGAACAGACATGGGATTAACACTATAGATATTCCTATTTAAAAAGGGAGAAAATGGGAAGCAAAACGGAATCACTGGTCTGCAGAAATCTTAAATCCATCCAGGCAAATGTTAGATATTCCTTGATTGGGTCTGGGTACTTGGCTTTACATACCTAGCTTTTTGGTTTAGCCTTCTGAATCAGAATTCACAGCTGAGTGGTTTCCTCAGTTTGCTACCTACTAGTAGAATTTTGGGGATCCAAGAACCTCTTTTCATTTTGTTTTCTCTTTGTCCCTTTCAGTCCAAGCTGGCAATGTTTTTGCTGATACGGTTTTATCAATAACTATCTGGGTCTCCTGTAAATTTCATTAAGGTTTACTTCATTAGAGAAAAGCTACACCTACAAATCCCCCTTGAGATAAGTTCTTCTCTACTTTGTGTTCCTACCCATAGGGCTGTGAAACAGCACCTTTAAGCTTTTGATTTAAAGGATCTATAAGGCATACTCTTAATCTCTTTAAAGTGCCTTTTATGTGACTGAATATAACTTTGAAGATCTAAATAGAATCTTTGATATTTCTTAAATTTTAACAAGAGATTTTACAGTCACACTTTTCATTTTTAGACAACGATTCCTGGAAGTGCCGTAGATTTGATCTTTACCCAGAAGTCATTTCTTAATTTTAGCATTATTTGCCATTTGGAGAGGCTAAGATTTTCAAAGCCATAAGTCCTGGCTCTTTTTTAAAAAACACCACACCCTTCCCTCAATTTATCTCTCCCCTCTCACATTTTACTGTAAGTATCAAGAAGCAACTAGGTGGTATCTTCAACACTTTACTTAGAAATAACCACAGTTAGACTACCCAGTTTATTAAGCACATTTTCTACTTCTCACATAACCACAGACAACAGTTACATTCTGCCACTACATTATAAGAATTCCAGCTTGGGCAATGTAGTTAGACCCCAGTTCTACAAAAATAAATAAATAAATAAATAAATAAATAAATAATAAAAATAAAATAAAATAAAATAAAAGCCAGATGTGGTGGCATGTACCTGTAGTCCTAGCTACTTAGGAGGCTAAAGTGAAAGGCTTGAGTCCAAGAGTTTGAGGTTACAGTAAGCTATAGTCATATAATCATGCCACTGCATTCTGGCCTAGATGACAGAGTGAGACGGTGTCTCTTAAAAAAAAAAAAAAAAAAAAAAAAAAATTTTTAAAGAATTTCCTTCCTTTGAGATTCCAATAACATTTTCCTCACTTTCCCTTAAGCGCTCACTAGTATCTTCTTCAAAGTCCCAAACTTTACAGCACGTTCAAGGCACTTTAAACATTTACTGACACTTTCCTCAAAATTCACTGCCCAGTTCCAATGCCATGCCCACAGTTTTAGTTATTTGTATGTCAGTACAAGACTTCCAGGTAACAAAATCTGTACTCATCATCTAGTGCTATGTAGCAAATTACCCTGAAACGTGGGGCTTAAAACTATAGACTTTTATCCTGTAGTTTCTTAGGGACAGGAATCCAAGAATGGACTAGTAGGGTTCCTCTAGTTCAGATTATTCCATAGTGCTATAATCATTTTGTAGATGGGTTTAACTGACTGTGGTAGGTGCCTCTAATGATATGAATATTATTCTTTTACTGTCATTCATTTTTACTAGTTTGTCTCTCATCCATTTTGCTTCTTTCTTGGTCTTCTTTTCATTATCTTGTTTTCTTGACTTTTTTCTATGCTCCTTATTAAGTTTCACTTGATATTCTACCTTGGGTACCTTATTACTAATTCTTTATTTCTAAGATATTTTGTCTTCACTTTAGTTCTTTCTTAAGACAATTCTCTTTTCATATCTCCTTGGTTTCTGTTGTTGTTGTTGTTTTTCCATTTTCCTTCTTAGTGTTTGAGTTTCTTACAAAGTTTTTCATATCCTCAAACACATACTTGATTATATATTTAATTCTTATAGTTTTCTTCTGCTTTTTTTTCAGAGACTTCTCTTTGTATGTGTGAAATTTTCTCATTTGTGTGAAAGTTTGTCTTCTGATTCTTAAGAATAGTTCTACATGAATTTGCTAATTTGCATTTTGTTCATTTTTATTGCATTGGGATGTTTCACAGGATTCCTAGTTTAGTGATGCCCTTTCTCTTTACATAACAAAGTTCATACATTGTAAACAGATTTGTTTGTTTGTTTAGGTGGGGTGGTAGAGCTGTGTGTCCTCTGGTTTTATGATTCTCTTTTGTTCTGTAGGATGCTACATTTTTCCCTTTAGTTTCTTTTTCCTTTCACCACCTAATTACCAAGTGGAGTTTCTTACCTTCTTTATTGACTTTTTTTCTCTTTCAGAAGCTATGTGTTTCAAAGATTGCCCCTTTAAACCATAGGTACTTTGAAATCCCTTCCCTGTGATCCATGTTCTGATCTAGTCAGATGCTTTTTTAGCATATTCAGATTTAAGGTAGAATCAATCTTTCTGAGGATAATTTTGGATCAGTTGGCTCCTTCCTTATCTTCCTTTTCTGTCTTCCCTATAGTTTTTCTCTTTTGCCTCGTGGCTGGAGGGTGGGGATTAAGGTGGTAGCATGGAAGATTGTACTGGAATTTGGTAATTTTTATTTTTTTAACCTATTGTTACTTGGAAGTTTTCACATTCTATGTCTTCAAGTTATGCAGAGGGCTTTTTCTGTGTAAATTTACATTTGCCATCTTGTTATTTGATATTGTTTTAGGAAGATACGGTGGGAGAGTGGTAGCTTGGTGACCACCATTGTCTTCAGCTACCTAGAAGTTCTCCTTTTAATTTTTTTAAACATTTCTAATTACTTTTTCAAATTTTGTGTGTGTTAAATTAGAAGAATTGAGAAGCCAGGGACTATGTACATCTTGTTCTGGTTTATTCCATTTGTCTAATACAGGTACAATTATTGTAGAGTCAAAAGAGCGCTACACTTCAGTCCGACATAAGGAATACTACATTCTGAAGACATGTGTTTACATCCTTAGCTTATTTAGTCCTTAGATTCTTTATCTATAACCAAGGATCTCACAGGATTGTTGTGGGAAAAGTTGAAGTATAAAAATACTTGACAATAGTTATTGTCCTATCTATGCTTAAGCAACACTTATCCAACACACACACACACACACACACACACACACACACACACACACTCTCTCTAACTCTACGTTAATAACCTATACAGTTTTCTCTTTTATCTTATGCAATCCTTAGCATTTGATAATTACACTAAACCTTTTATATGTAATTTTTCTGACTAATCTGTCATCATGCTTTTCTTGTAAATACCAGTGTCTCAAGTCCCATTTCTTAAGATGTGACTTTGGGAAACTGCTCTTGCATTTTCTTAATTTTATAAAGAAAGTGAAACACAAATTAAAATGTTACTGCATATTTTATTTTTCATGAGTAGGCAGCCTACATTCACAGTTTATGTTAATGCAAAAAAGCTAGTACACTGAAAACCTATTTTTTTAATCTATTGCTTATTTATTCAGGGTTGTAAATATTACTTATATAGAGACACAGAGATGTGTAAAAATGAAACATTGTGAAAAAAATACAATTTTTCAATTTCATATGAAACTCAAAGTGTAAGTTTTGTCCAATATGGAATGTACCTACATTTGTTTGTATTAGGGCTCTAAAATCCATTTAAAAATTGTTTTTCTGTTTTTAAAAAAGAAATAGCTGACCCACCAGGCAAGTTAGCTATATATCTTGCTTGCTCAAAATGAGCATTTTCAGGTAAGGTCTGTTTTTTCTGGCCCAAGTCTACTATGATTCCTTAGAAGTCATGCTGGCGCAATCGAAGAAAGGGTTTCCATGAAGAGTCTGATGGTGGCATCTGGATGAGGGGTGGTACCGGTAATGGGAAGTGAGTAGAGAAGAAGGAGCTAAGAGCCCAAATCCTTATGAAGGATGACATTCAGTTGTTAAATTTTAAGGGGTATCCAATGGTTTTTTCCAGGCACTCAACTAAAGAGCCTGCGGAAAGAAAATCCCTCTCTACTTCTACAAATTTGATGTAGATGGATTTGGGGGAAACTCCGGGATCCACAATACAGTTCTGAGACAAAAACCCATTAATACCAACCAAATCTTTGCTGAAGGTTTTGGTATTCACTTGGAAATGTAAAAATAAGCACTGCTGCAGAGTCCTGACCTCAGCAATCCCGAGGTAGCAATAGGTAATTCGGGTGGGTTCTATTTCCACCTGTAATGAGGTTTGTGCTGAAAGGGTTTTCAGGTCAACCCGGCCCTCTTTTCCTGGGTCCAGGGAAGGTTGCTCCATGTGTGGTGAGAGGGGCCTCTCAATACATTCTTCATAGCCAATGGCATAAAGGCCTGGGCTTTTAGGAATACCCCCAGGCAATAAATATTGAACAACATTCCCACCAGTTGGTTTGGAATGGGCAATGGGTATCCAGTCAATTTCCATGTGCAGCTCCAAGCACCTAGCTTCGCTAATAGTGATCTCTAAAAATGTGTAGTAAATATTTTTCCAGTTCATTTTCTGCACTCGGGTCATAATGATCCGTCCTTCAGACTTCTCAGAGTTGAAGTACTCCCGAAGTCACTTGCCAAGGGGCACCTGGGAGCTGATCTCAGCATAATGGTAACGGATATCCTCTTTCCAATGGGTGTTATAACCAATTCCAAAAATGGCCAGTTTATTAGAAAGATGGAGCCTTGAAAAGTCTGTCCAGCTCTGAAAAAGTTCCCATTTCAACTGTACCGATTCCAAAATCTGTACAATATTCTGCATGATGTCTCTCCTCTGTGCTTCCTCAGAAGACTCTTGTTTTATTTTTAATGTTCTCTTTGTGACAGGTATTTCATCCAATTCCTGATCTGTTGGATAGCCATGGAGATCCTGACTGTGGTTTCCCCAGTCCTCCTGTGAATAGTCCTCCATAGTGCTGCCATCTGACTCCAGCTCATGTAAGCTATGAAGGTGGTTCTTGCTCTCTATTCAGCACCGGTGAGGCCACAGCTGGAGCACAGTATTCAGTTCTGGGTATTCAACCAGCTTGATGCGTTCCGGGCGCTGGGACGGGGTCTGCTCGTAGCCCAGCTTGGCCAGGGCCCGGGACATGCGCTCCTACAAGGCTGGCCCGGGGGCCCTGCTGCCGAACACCGTACCGGCTCCCTCCAGCTGCTGGTACAGCACCTCCACCAGCCGCTCGTTGCCCCACACTGCGATCAGCCGCCGCGGCCCTGCCACCACCGCCACCAGGGGAGAAGGAGACCGGAAAGCCTATTTTTAACTTGAAAATTTACAAATTATAATAATCCTATTAGTAAGAGTAATAACAATGACACATATTGAAATTTTTACTATATGCCAGTCACCATTTTAAGTACTTTTAAATTAAGCTAATATAATCTTTACAACAATACTATGAGGTAGGTATTAGTCTTTTTATCTTTATTATATAACTAAGCAAACTAAGTTAAGTAACTTGCTGGAGGTCACACAGCTAGTAAATGGTGTAGCCTGTGTTTGAACCCAATGAAAAAGATGTCGTGAGTCAGTTAGGCAAATGGTAAAATACTACTTATTCAGGTGGACGTTTCTTGAATCACTATTTAGTAAGCTAAAAATTTGTAAGAAATAGTAAATCTCAAGCAGATAACATTACTTAAAAATACTCACCGAAAAAAAGGCTTGAAGTCTTCCCTTTCCTGGACAGAGTAGGATACTAAAGAGCAAAGGGAGGAACAATACTCAAAGGAAGGGAATTGGAGGATATAAAAGGGTAAACCTTCACATAAAGTGGAAGAACTCCAACTTTAGATAATAGTTAAATTTTTGAAACAGTCCATCCTGAAGAAATAGCCCAGCCTTTCTGACTATGATGTTTAAATGCATAGCTTCAAGGCAGTCAATTAAGATACTCTTATTTTTCACAGCAGTTCTCTTTGGGATTCTTTGACTTGGAAAACAAATGAAGCAAATGAAGTTAATGACTCTTTCAAGTCTTTCCATCAAAGGCTCCCAAATTATATCCATTGTATCAGTGAAAAACGCTCCAGTAGAAAAATATGTTGCTCTGAGACACAGTGATGGAGGAAAGGAGGAAAAAGAAGCCCAGGTGATATGGTTTGGCTGTGTCCTCAGCCAAATCTCATCTTGAATTCCAGCTTCCACAATTCTCAGGTGTTACGGGAGGGACCCGGTGGGAGAGAATTGAATCATGGGGGCGGTTTCCCCCATACAGTTCTCGTGGTAGTGAGTAAGTCTCACGAGAACTGATAGCTTTATAAGAGGAAACCCCTTTCGCTTGGTTCGCGTTCTCTCTGCCTGCTGCCGTATGAGAGGTGTCTTTCACCTGCTGCAATGATTGTGAGGCCTCCCCAGACACGTAGAACTGTGAGTCCATTAAACCTCTCTGTCTTTATAAATTACTCAGGTATGTCTTTATTAGCAGCGTGAAAATGGACTAATACACTAGGCTAAGTGAGATTCTTATGGTGGCACAAAGTTACTGGCTCCAGTCACAGAAAATGAAGGGCCTGACATTTAATTTCCAACCCCCTGTCCCACACTTTCTTCCTCAGAGTCCAGATGTGATCAGAGCATGCACAGCAACAACCATACCACCCATATTAGGAAATCAGTGCTCTAGCCATATTATTAGATTTGGGGAAAGAAATGAGAACGTGTCTGAACATTCATTAGATCTCTGGGCATATCTGACCTTTGTGTTATTGGTACAATTAGTAATCAAATCCTTGGCATTTTTCTGTCTTTACCCAGGAGGTTCACCTTATAATTTTCTCAAAGATCATTATTTAGGTCCCAAATCCCAGACTGAGCTGGCAACATGATTACAAAGAAAGAATACACCTCAAGCAGATTAGATTACTTAAAAATTCACAGAAGAGGCTTGAAATTTTCTATTCACTAGAAAGAGCAGGGTCTGTACTACCTCCGTCAGCTTAACATTAACGAAGACATGTAAAATTTAGCCTTTGGCTTTCGCTAAAGTTGCAGCTCTTACCCTGAAATTTCTTAGCTATACTAGTATTCATCTCAGTCACCGGAAATCATAAAGACATGTTAGGAAGTTAGTCTGAATATCATCAAAATCTTATAAAAATGAACAGAATATCAAACAAATATGTTTATACAATGGAATATAAAATTGGAAAATAGATATCTTTTTCCAGATGTGCTGAACACCACGTTTCAGAAGTGGTCAAGAAAAACAGTGAGGAAAAGGGTTTGTAGAAATTATTTAAGATGAGGCAAACAGAGAAGCAGACATGTTCATATTTTGCTGTGGCTTAGAATGATGAAATGGGAGAGAGTGATATTTTTCATTTTCTCACCTTACCTCGCAACATTAACTGAATTATGTGATTTTGAAACAAAACCTTTGATTAGCTACAGACCAGTTACATCTCCTCACTTTCTAAGCATGCTTAGAACTGCTTGTAAATGACAGATCTTTGTGATGGCAATGGGAAGCCAGTTAAAGCCCTTCCCCCTGCCCCCACCCCACCACTTGAGGTCATCAAAGCCTGGTTGTTTGTTAAAGCTCCAGTGGCCATCAGATTTATTAAGGTCCTGCCAGCCCAGTTTACTAAGTTTCCTGAATTTGGAGAGAAGAAGAAAGACAATGTTTGAACAGCTCATAAGATACATTTTTAATCTAGTAAGCAAGGTTAATTGGATACGGGTATTTAAAATAACCAGAATATGAACATGAATTAGATCGGAAAACAGTAGTCATTTCACAGGTTCTATATGGTGAACATATCTGAGATGATTCTTTTTCAGTAGTCCTGGGACAACTAGATCTTTGACTTACTACTTTCGTCCTTTTGTCCTGATTTTTAGGGAATATTTGTTTATAGCCAAACTAAAAGAGCAGGCTGCAGTACAGCCACAAGACCCATTTCTGTGTAATATCGCCTAGCGGAAAACTTAAATTCCCCAGTCAGAAAATAAGCATCCACTGAGAGATGAATCTTGTAGAAAAGTAGTGATGAAAAACTCAACCCACACCCAGAGTTTGGCGAAGGTCACTTCTGGATGATGATGGGGGGAAATGAAGCTGTGTATTTGTGAACCAAATTAATACATGAATCTGTAAAGCATTCAGGCTGACCTTGAGACAAATGCATCTCCTTCTTCCAACCAAATTATAGTTTCTAACTCCACAGAAGGATTGCCTTTCTGAGTGCTGACTCCAAGAAAGCGTGCTCCCTGGCGGATGGTTCCTGACAGGTATGAATGTTACCTTTTTATCATCTCTTGCCCACTGATGACAAAAGGAAACTAATTACAAGTAATTTCCAGGCTCTCAGACTTAAGGTCCCCACAGTGGCCTGAGAATTGTTTGCAGGTTTGGAAAGATGCCAACTGTGTGTTGGTTCTGGGCAATGATCCTGCACTCATATAAATTCTAGAGGTAATGGTGAAATAATAGAGTCACAACTGGTGGGAAGCATATTTTTCTGTCTTGAAGAATGAAGTCCCTGCAGATGTGTAGTGAATGCATCAGTGTTCGCTGCCATTGTGAATTCTCCTAAAGCCTCCTTCTGAATTCAGTGTCTCCCAAAGCATTTCAAATTTGTGGCATTTTCTATTATTTTTAAATGTGGTATATTCATGGCTTATTTACTTAAAGCCTCATTGTACATTTTGAAGAAATTTCTTGACGTAGCGTTTCAGTGATATCATTAGTTTCTCTGTATGAATAAATGCTCCCAGATGGCTTCATGTCAGCCACACACAAAATATCCCACTGTCCCTTTCTCTGAATGGCAAAAATAATTTTGTTCATTTTTATAGCATTTCTATTCTTATTGTTCCAGAGAAGTCTTCCAACTAAGTAATTAACTGGTATTGAGCAATAACTCATTTACTCTCATTTGCTTACTTTATAAGGCACACATTGTTGTATTGTGGCCAGCACTGGTCATGCCATTAGTCTTTTTTTCTTCTTTATTTCTTCCAAAAAAAAAAAAAAAACAGGATGCATGTGCAGAACATGCACGTTTGTTACATAGGTATACATGCGCCATGGTGGTTTGCTGCACCTACTGACCCATCCTCTAAGTTCCCTCCCCTCACCCCCAAAACAGGATGCATGTGCAGAACATGCAGGTTTGTTACATAGGTATACATGCGCCATGGTGGTTTGCTGCACCTACTGACCCATCCTCTAAGTTCCCTCCCCTCACCCCCAACTCCCCAACAGGCCCTGGTGTGTGATGTTCCCCTCTCTGTGTCCATGTGTTCTCATTGTTCAACTCTCACTTATGAGTGAGAACACGCTGTGTTTGTTTTTCTGTTCCTGTGTTAGTTTGCTGAGGATGATAGTTTCCAGCTTCATCCATGTCCCTGCAAAGGACATGATCTCATTGCTTTTTATGGCTGCATAGCATTCCGTGGTATATATGTACCACATTTTCTTTATCCGGTCTATCATTGGTGGGCATTTGGGTTGGTTCCATGTCTTTGCTATTGTAAATTGTGCTGCAGTAAACATACATGTGCATGTGTCTTTATAGTAAATGATTATATTCCTTTGAATATATACCCAGTAAGGGGATTGCTGGTCAAATGGTATTTCTGGTTCTAGATCCTTAAGGAATCGCCATACTGTCTTCCACAATGGTTGAACTAATTTACATTTCCACCAACAGTGTAAAAGTGTTCCTATTTCTCCACAGCTTCACCGGCATCTATTGTTTCCTGACTTTTTAATATTTGCCATTCTGACTGGCATGAGATGGTATCTCATTGTGGTTTTAATTTGCATTTCTGTGATGATCAGTGATGTTGAGTTTTTTTTTTCTCTTATGTTTGTTGGCTGCATAAATGTCTTCTGGGCCATAAGTCTTGAGTCCAGCATGTGTCCACAAATAATACCTGGTACTTAGTATATGTCCAGTTAAAATTTACTACATGAATTTATGAATGGATTAATATGTATACACAGTTTACCTTATTAGCCTTGTGTTGATATGCATGGTGGAAGGAAGTTTAAAGAAAAAAACTGTTTGCTTTTTCCTATCCTATATTCTCACAATACTTCTCAGATACCAATTGCAAGTAGTAGGTTCCCAGGTTACCCAAAATTTCTGTCTGACTTGACTGCATATGAGAGCTTCCCATGACCTTCTTCTTAGGCTTGATAATTTACTCAAGTGATTCACAAAACTCAAGGAAACACTTTACTTACA